TCTGGTGAGGTCTGTTTTTCTTCCTTTAAGACATTGATTGATACATTAACTCCCCTAGATTTCTCTTCCATGCATCAATTTTTCAATCACTGTGTCAACCTCTTTGTGTTCACTCTGTATTGTAAGTAAATTACTTTAATTGAACTTCTGGATCATCATTTCAGTTTTCAGTGTTGCCAATCATGTAGTAGATTGCCTTGATTGAATTTTTTAATTTGTAAGGATATTGCTATGCTAATCACATTTTCACCACTGTGATAAAATACCTGATAAGAACAATTTATAAGAAGAAACTAGTATTTATTTTGGCTCCCAGTTTCAGAGGCTTCAGTTCATGGTGTATTAGTTAGTCTCATTTCTTTTGGGCCTGTGATGAGGCAGCACATCGTGGTAGAAGCGTGTGGTAGAGCACTGCTGCTCATCTCATAGTGGTCAGGAAGCAAAGAGAGAGAGGGGTGGTCTAAGGTCCCAGTATCCCCATCCAGGATCCCCCCAGTGACCTAACATTCTCCCACTTCCTGAAGGTCCCACCAGCTCCCACTAGTGCCACATGCTGGGGACCAAGCCTTTAACACATGCACCTTCCAGGGACATTGAGGGTCCAAACTGTAACACTTGCCTTAGATGATTCATTTGAAATATCTCTGTGACTGTCCCAAAGAATTCCAGTGTCTTCCATTTAATCTGATTAGTGGCAGCCATATGCTTTTCTACTTGATGAGCTTCCTTTAGGCTGCTGATGTAGTAGACAAGTCATCTTACACAATGTAATCAGGTGTGTCACCTCAGATTCCTGGAAGGCTACTGGCTCTATTGAACAGCAAATGGGAAGGAAAACAGAACAATGTGGGCTCAAACCCACAAACCTTCTCCACTACTCCTGGATCACCCAGCAGCAGTGGTAGCTCTGAGAGGCTGCCTTCTTCTAGAGACCTTTGGAACCAGTGCAGAAGCCTGGGAAGTGCCCCTCATCCCCATCTCAGTGGCTATGTCAATTGCTGGGTGACCTCAACAGGAAGGGAAAAGAAGTCATAAGCGTGAGCTCTGTCCTCCAACCTCCCAGACCTGTCATTTTCTAATAGAACTAGCGAGCCACTGTAGAGTGTTTTTTCTGAGCTGTTCTGAGTGCAGTTTTCTTATTATTTTGTGATGGTGGTCCATGGACCCGTGGTCTCAGCCTTGCTCTCTACCATTGAGCCTGCCTTCCAGCCCGTTAGCTTATTTTTAGGCATAATTGAAGAAGTCTTTTAATTAAATTTCACTTTTAAGGTTAAGTTCATTATTCTTTTTAAGCGTAATTTTTATTTTTAAGCCTAATGATTCCTGAAATCAACTATTTCTATAAGAGGCTTAACAGTCAGTTGGTCTAGAATCTAATAATCAAATGCAGTATTTCCATAGAAACAGAATATCCTAATTGTAAGAAAAATGTGTGGGAAGAAAGAGACAACTCCAGGAAACTACCTTTGTGAGTCCAGACCCATAGATTAAAGAGAAAATATCAAAGGCAACCTATAAAAAATTCTACAGCATACTTTTGACAACATTTGGAAGATATGCTAAAATTAAAAATGCAGGGTGCTCTTATGGCTTGCTAAATGCTTTGATTAAACTGCACTGGCTAATAAAAATTAAAGCTCCTGAGCCAGGGATTTAGCTCAGTGGTTACGCCGCCTGCCTTGCAAGCGAAAGAACCCGAGTTCGATCCCCAGCACCAAAAAATAAAAAATTAAAAAAAAAATTAAAGCTCCCAAGAACTTTCAAACTATGACCTTTTTCCTTGTTCATGCAAATTAATATATTGAGAAGAAGAGATTAATTAATTAATTAATAGATGTCTGTTGCAAACCTTGCTTTCAGGAAACCTCTAAAAGCCTTTCTATAAACCTATCATTAATAACTAAGGCATTTCCTTTTGACATGCTTTGGAGACTCAATAATCTGTTCAAAAGGTAGTGATAAACTCATTTTTGTGTTATTATGTATATACATATGTGGTAAAATATATTTTAGAAACAAAGTGGTGAACACTGAATTTGGGATCATAGTTGCATCCTAGGAAAGTGATAGGGCTATGGGATAAGGCATAAACATGCAGACTCATTTAATGAGGGTTTCTCATCCATGGGACTGTCATTGTGTTGGACTAGGTAACTGTTGTGGTTGACTGTTTTGTGCACTGTAGGACATTCAGTAGTATCCCTGCCTCTACCCACTGAATACTAATAGCAGCCCCCTCATGCCTGTCACCACCACCAACAACAAAAATAACTCCAGACCTTGCTATGGTTCCCTCAGGGGAGGGAGTGGTAGAGGCCTGAATCCACCCAATATTAGTCAGCTTTCCCGTTGCTGGACAAAATACCTGACATTTACAACTTAAAGGAGGGGAGGTTTAATAGGCTCACAGATTCAAAAGATTCAGCCCATGCTTGGCTGGACCCAAGGCAGGAACATCATAGTAGAGGGTGTGGCAGAGCAAAGCTGCTTAGTTCATGGTGGCAAGAAGCAGAGCAGGGGAACAGTGCTGGAGAGGAAAGGGTGGAGGACCGGATGTAGACCCGAAAGTCACATCTCCACGCCCCGCTGGAAACACACACCCTCAGGTGTGCTTTGCTCATCCCTTGGGCAGCTCTCAAGCCAGCCAAGTTGACAGTCCGCCTTAACCACCAAGAACTTCAGTTGAGAAGCACTGTGTTAATCATGTTGGTAAAGTAATCCTAGTGTTCAGTAAAGTGGAAGGTTCACAAATGTCCACTGTATTATTGTGCTTTATAGTTTTTTATAAGTTGCATATTTTTTTTTCTTTTTCTTTTTTTGTACCAGGGATCGAACTAAGGACCTTGCGTTTTCAAGGCAGGTAGTGGCACCACTGAGCGAAATCCTCAGCCCTAGTTGTATTTTTTTTTTTTTTTGGTACCAGGGATCGAACTCGGGTCCTTGGGCTTGCAAGGCAGGCAGTGGAACCACAGAGCTAAATCCCTGGCCCACTTGTATATATTTTTAATGTACCTTATATTATATGACATAAAAGTTGCTGGCAACATGCATTCAGCAGGGACTCTCTGGACATAAACATGGAGATAGAGTCTTATTTCTATCATGGACATCCGTGAGGAATATGAAACTTTATTTTACCAGTGTACTTATTCTCTTTTATGTCATTCTGATGAGTATTTGGAGACTGTTTATTTTAGATCTTCACATTTTTAAATCATTTAATCATGCAACTAGAACTTTACTTTTAAAAATTTGTATAAGTTTTTAGGCCAAAACAGAATATTTTGGTCAAATACAAAAATATTCATATAAAGATTGTAGGACCTTTAAAACTATATGTGCACACAATAAAGACAATATTATCTGTTATTCATAAGAAAAACTTATCGAATAAAAAGGATCCTTCTAAAGCCAGCTAAAATATCATATAATTTATTCTAATGATTTAGAAGAATTCAGAGTAAAAAGTAGAACTGGTCTAAGGGATCATTGTCTTTTTAGCCTATTCTAAAACCTCTCTGTCTCTCTCTCTCTGTCTCTCTCTGTCTCTCTCTCTCTCTCCAGTGCTGAATTTTGAACCCAGGACCTTCTGCATTCTAGGCAAATGCTTTGCCACTACTCAGTTACACCTCCTATCCTTTATATAACATACCTTATGTTTTTCCCAGGAGTTAGAGGTTATGTTCATGGTGTAAATATCTCTCCCTCCTTTCTAATACCCTAGTACGCATCCTTATACATACAGTATTGTGTATTCCTGGTAATGAAGATTCTGACAATGAGATGTGCCACTGGAATATATTATCATCATTAATATTGAATGTCTGAAGACAGAATCACTTAGTTCATTGTGAGCATATGCACATAGATTTGCTCTCTTAAAAAGAATGGACTGGCAGCAGAAATATTTTTATATCATCCTGAATTGAATGGACTAATGCTTCTTTTCAGAGGTTCTAAATGCATTTAAGGGGGCAATGCTTAAAAGTTTGACAGTGGATTCTGCCACATTCTTATTAAAATGGTCAAATTCAGCTCTTTAAATGTATTTTTGGTTTTTACAAGAGTCTCAGTGATTTAGTTAACCATTAGTAGAACTTGACTAATCCTTGCTTAAACTAAAAACTACTAAATAGAGAAAGGCCATGAAGAGACCAAATCTAAAATAATAAAGGGGAAAATGAAGAGGTAAAGGCAAGTGTATGGCTGGAATCCAATATGCACCCTCAAAAAGCTCATTGTTTTGAAGGCTGGGTTGCCTTTAGGAAGTGATTGGGTCAGGAGAGTTCTAACTTCTTCTGTGGCTCCTTCCTCTCTGGCTGTTTCCTCTTCCTCTCTCAGCTTCCCAGTTGCCATGAGGTGAGCAGTTTCTTCCACCTCGCCCTTACGCTGTGGTACTCCTGCCTTGGCACCAACTGACTATGGACTAAAACTCCTGCAATCATGAACCAAAATCAATCTTTCTTTCTTTAAGTTGTTTTTCTCAGGTATTTGGTCACAGAAATGCAAAGCTAACATAAGAAATGAAAGGATAAAAGGGTGAAATAATATATAGAAAGTGTAAGTCCAGTTTCTTTATTGGCAGAGTTGTAATACTGAAGAAAACAAGTCCTTCTATTGACTGCAAAGCTGTAGTTAAGTGTATTAGAAAAGAAAAATAACGAGAGTGTGTGGTACACCTCTTTCACCATCTAGATGGGAAGTGTCAGGGTAGGAATTTTATACAGATCTGGGTGACTTGAGAAGCCAAGGCCTATCATAGGTACAGAGCCTTCCCTGTATATACACAGGAAGAATCCTTTGGAGGTTGTGTACTCTTCTCATGGGTAACAAAATAGTACCTTGAGGGGTCTTTGCTGTACCTACCTAATGTGACTGTTTGGCTTCTCCAAATCACAATTGGGCTCTATGGCAGATCATGAATGTTGCTGCTGGTCAATAATTGATTGCCTTGCAAAGCCTTGAAGCAAAGGCTGACTGAGATCTCCTTGAACTCCTAGGGGCTGAGGTGACGTACATGAACATGACTGCCTACAACAAGGGCCGGCTGCAGTCCTCCTTCTGGATTGTGGACAAACAGCACGTTTATATTGGCAGCGCCGGTTTGGACTGGCAGTCCCTGGGACAGGTAATCTTTCCACATTATCTAAACTCAAAGCTCTGTCAGCATCAGAACATCCACTCCATCAAGCACTCAGCTGCCTCTGTCCACAGTGGTTGAGGGAACTAAAACCTACAGCATTTTAAAATTTTTTATTACTCATTTGTGGTGCTGATGATCGAACTAAGGGTCTTGTTCATGCAAAGCACACCATCAACCACTAAGTTACACCCCAGCCATAGTGTTTATTATTTTTAACGTAGTTTGAAGAGGTTCACCAGTGTTTACTATGAAATAATAAACCTTCCTCATCAAAATTATTTCACCAAAAAGGAACTGACAAAATTATTGCCACTGCTTTGATGCTTTTTTTATTCAAATGCTACTTGCAGATTCTTTGTAGTATGTAATTTACATTACCCAAACCAAAGTCTTTGGGATGTATCACACAATCCATGAGAAAGAGGAAAACATACCAACCCAGGATAAGATAGTATGTCAGTTATTATTTTAATATATCTTAACATGCCAGTGTTATATCTTACTCTTTGCAAATGATTAACCTTAACTATATCAAATATACCTACATTGACAATCATGTACTTTTCATATTTTTATTCTTGCCAGAGACAATCCGTAGAAGATTACAAAATCTCCACCTTTCCTTTGGGCAACCATGCCAGAGGCCTGGCCAATCAGCCTTGTGTCCCAGAGTGTCCACGCCCCTCATTTTAACTCCCCTCTTTGACATGAAGATCACTAATTCCACCAAGGGAGTTACACTGTACATCAGTTTATTTCTTATGAGAAAGAAAGCATTGAGGTGCAGGAGATCCCTGACTGTGACAGCATCACACGGGGCAATGAGAGAAGGGAACATCGCCGTCCATTCTGTCAGTTCTGCACATTCACCCTTCTGCCTCCCGATTCCCACCATTCTGTTTTCCTTCTTAAACTGCTGCCTTCCGCACTTACTTGCTCCATCCGTTTTTCCACTTTTATGGTGAAACATGTAAACATGCTCAGGGGTAAAAGAAATAAACCATGGGCCAAATAAATGTCAACAATCCAATTGTTTCCCTCTCCACCGAATGAATGGCATACAGCAAAGGGAAAATTTACCCAAGGTGTTTTTTCTAGTTTTGAATTTAAAGGATAGCCAAAGGAATCCAGGCTCTGGGATTGCTTTTTTCTGGTAAGAGAGTTCTCCAATCCAATCAATGAAATTTCATGGTTCTTTTGAGATGAAGACACCATGAAAGATAGAGAAAACACTGTGTATGTTACATTTGCTTAAAAAATTAGAAGGTGCTGTCTACAGATTTACAAATGTCTCTGAACAAAATAAGAACAATAATAAACATTGTGGCATATATTAAGTGCCACATGTTTTCGGAGCTACTCAAATAGATATTTACTTTAACTCTCACAGTATTCTTAGGAGATGAATACTATTATTGTGTCTATTTTATTGCTTTAAACTGAGGTTCAATATTGAATCTTAAGCTTGCTCTTCCAGTAGTAATTTTGAGATGCAAAGTATAATCTTGATTCTATAAGTTTCTTGTCAACACACATATAAAAATCCGGATTAAAACAACAATGACTTCAGAAATGAGAAATAAGGCAATAGTGTAAATTTAGAGTATTTAGGAGGAGCTGGTCAAACTTATGGAAATATCTCAGTTTATGTTTTGCTTTCTTTGTATTTACAAAATACTAATCAATAAACATCTGCCCAATAATTTGCAGTCGGATCTCCTATAAGATACGCATAATCTTGGCTCAATGACAATATTGATTATTCATAAATTCTTCTACTAAGTGGTTTTTAACTTGAGCATAGCTTGCTTGCTTATTTTTCCCACCACCAAATGTGCTTACCCACCACCAAAGTTTATTTCTTTTGTTATTAACTGTTATTAATTGATAAGTTGTGAAGTTTTGTGGATTTTGTTTGAATGAGTTTTGAATGACTGAGGTTTAGGGAAGGTGTCTTTATTTTCACTATATTACCTCCTTAAACAGATGGATATATGGTTTCTCTGCTTGAAGACTACCACTTTGTTTTGGTTATTGTTGTTTGTTTCATAGAAAAATAAATTGATCTTTAAGGCATTCATCCTTTACCTATACAGTTATTTGAATATCATTTCCTTTTCAAATAGATCGTCACATGAAATGTGAAAATTTCCCTGTTTTAACCATAGTAAACTCAGTGTAAGGATAAATTGCAAGTGATTTCTTGTTATTCAAATGAATCAAAGCCATATACAATCTTTCCTAGCTTACATGTTGCCAGGCAGTACTTAGTTTCCCTCCATATTACAGAGAAGAGCAAAGTGGTCCATGAATATTCTGTAAAAGTCAGAAAGCATCATGACCTGTTTCTCAGCTCACAGCCACCTCAGCTCCTTTCCTGAGGCCCTGTCAGCTCCTTGATTCATCTAATGTCATTCTCAATAGGAACTAGAGCATTGCTCTCTCTTATGCTGCTGCGTGGAGCTGTGCCTGTGGATCTGTCTGAGGAAGTGTCACTCTGACCAGGTCGTATGGTTTATTCGTTCTTAGCTTCTAAGCCATGCAATGAGAGGCAGAATAAACAGAGTGGATTTTTTTAGATTTGTCTCCCTTAGCTTGAATATAGCCATAAAGTTATTCTTTAAAAACCTGGTATTTAAGTACAGAGTAAATATAATGTAGGGATTAAAGATGAATGCATTTTATGACCTACCGGAAATTCACAGATAGGAAAGCCATGGAAACGTGCTGAGCACTTCCAACATCCTGCTGAAGGGGGGCAGGGGAAGAGTCATTCTCACCAGCTAAGCCTGGGGTAGAGCAGCCTTGGGCTGGCTGGAGAAAGGCAGCAAGAGTGCATAAAAAGTAAATGTTGTGGGAAATGTTTAAGCCATAGTGATTTCAAGCCATATGGGACTTGCCATATGAACTTCTTTTGTGGAAATCTGTGTTCTTTTGGCTGTGAATTTGATAGCAGGTTAGTCTCCTTGGAGGTCAGGGAAGTGGAACAAGGTAGGTGAAAGAAATCTTTTCCAAAATTACTATTCATATGCCAGCCACTGCTTGTGTGTGTATGTGCGTGTGTGTGTGTGTATCACTTTCTTTCATGATCATGCCATGATACTTATAGATTTCCTCTTTCTTGTGCTTTTCTCTAAGAAAAATTAGCAACACTATTCATTAGGAAATCCTTTGCTCATTCACCTCTTTCCCACTGTAAACCCTTGATGACATGGTGGCCATGGAATAAGAGCTACTCCCGCTCACGACTTGAGGTCTACAAACTCACTTAATCTGAGTTGAATTTCAAAGACGAAGGTCCCCTGTGTTTGCCTCTGTACTTCTCACCTCCTGTTGATCCATCAGGGCCTCCCTTAGAATTCTTAGCTGCAGGGAGCCCTGTGGAAAGAAAGAGAAAGCTTCCTAAAGCTTCCCACCCAGGCATCTGGAGTTCTGCATCTCAGGAGTGTGGCAGAACACCAAGGAGGAAAGGAAAAACACAAAGCAAACAAAAGACTAACCAGCATGTGAAGCTGAAAGGAAAGTACACACACTTCAAACCACAGGGCTCCGGAGGTGGGATGCTGAATAGGAGAAGCTGGGAACGAAAAGGTGAAATTCACACTTTTAGAAAAAGTTGCACTGATAATATTTGGAACAAACCTTCTTAGATTAGCTATTAGCCTGGAGTTGAAGGTGGGATGTAATAGGTTCCTTCGTCAGTAGAACCAAGTAGCTCTGCAGAAGGGAGAGTTTTGAACAGTGTACATATAATTACAACAAACAAGAATGGGCCTCTTTCAACTCTGTGAATGTGAAAAGAAGTAAAAGACATATGTGAAATCAGCAGAGCATGTGGGAGCAGTAAGAGACCGGTGACTGAGCCATGTAGCAGTGTGGGGCAGGTGGTGCCAGGCGCGGCAGTCTGCACAGATCTGCTCCCATCATAGGAGTGAGGAACACACCAACCAGCCCACGGTCTGCTTGGTGTCTGCAGTCACTGAAACATTTAACTCTGGAGCTGGAGATTACATCAGAGAATAAGACCAGTGTAGTGTTTTCCATGGCGTGCTTTATGAAATGTTGTTTCGGTGAGATAGTCGCAATTACTACCGGAGAAGCGGACTCTGCTCAACCTAAGATTGAGAAACTGTGGGCTTCATTTAAATAGGTTTCTTCATTCTGGGACTCCTGGGTGTTTAACATGCCTGTGGGCTGTGTGGATCTCTAAGACGGCAGAGAGTATGCAGCATCTGTCAAGCCTACTTGACCATAAAACTCTTTCCACAGTTCACTTTATGGATCAAGTGTTCCCGAAGCCTACTAATTTACACAAATGCTGCTCTACACAGCCTCTCACCATCAGATGGGATCACTGAGGCAAGGGGCCAGGGCCAGCGGGCTGTTCGGTCACTTACCCTATATGCAGCCTCCATGGATCCCAGCAACCTCAGTTCCAGAATACTCAAAAAATATCTCATCTGTATTGATCATATGCAGGTTTTCTTCTTGTCATTGTTCCCTAAACAATACAGTGTAGCACCTATGTATGTAACATTTATTGGGTATTCCAAATAAACTGGAGATGATTCAGAGTACACAGGAGGATGTATGTAAATGATACGTAAGTGCCAGGGCATTGGATGTGAGGGACTGGAGCTTCTGCAGCTTTTACTGTCCATGAAGTTTCTTAGACTCAATCCCCAGGGGATACCGGGAGATGATATATGTCCTATTGGTGCCATTTCTCTGGAGATCCCTGACTAAGATTGTGACTATGAGAAGTGGAAGGAGGATGTGACAGGAGAGGCCTGGCAGAGCTGTCACAGTGACTTGTGGGCTGTGAGGAGCCCGAGGGAGCTGGAGGCATTGCTTCCAGAACCTAGGACTGGACCAGCTGGGAGAGGGACCACACCATCGGTAAAAACAGAGATTGTCATCAGGATGAGCGCTGGTGTCCAGTGGGCTGCTGGAAAGACAGCTCAGGTACCTGGACAGTGATGGTT